CCCAAACCCAAACCCAAACCCAACCCCAAACCCAAACCCAACCCCAAAAGTGTGAATTCATTGTCGTTCGACATATTTTAGTATTCTATACCTTCAATACTCTTTAAGTTGAAATCTCAGCACACAATAATCATTTGATTATTTTTTCCCTTGGCAATTAGCTTAAAAAGAAATTACAACACAATTGAGATATTTGAGATAGCAAGTAATTATAATTTTAATTTATAGATTTTTTATTTTATCTAAGAAATTTAGTAAATAGTATAGATCGAATTTTCTTCATTTAAGTAGCTAATTCTATTGCGAAAATCTAAAGGCATCATCTAAAATGTTGGATAGATTTAATTAGGAATCGATATTTAAATCAACGTTATCTTATTTGTTAATATATATACATTTCACTAATCGATTTAATTAAGTATCCCTTTAATGTAATTATTACTAAATCAGCTTGAGCAGTAAATACATAATTTTTGATTAACACCTGAAGTCAAAAAAGTTCAATTAAAGTAATAGTGACTGCTGATTTGATCATCATTTGCTGAAAAGGATTTTAAATTTTATAAACTTAAGAAATTCTAATAAATTTAAGTTTAGTAAAATTAAAATTATGATTCTTTATATTTTAGAAATAGCTGTCAAAAGCTACCAATTGATGAAAAATTTGAAGAACTAAATTTATATACCAAACTTAAATGATAATTATTCAAATTTCATAATTGATTTCTTCTTTAATGGTATTTTCTGAGATATCCTTTTCAACCCATTTGCCAACCTTTTTATCATTTTTATAATTGCCATAATAGGTTATTTAATTAAAAATTGAAAATTCATTGCTTAATTCAATCCATTTACCTATCTTAATTGAAGGTTTTTAATATGATCCACCACCACTAAAATATTATAATTATAACAATTTACATAGTTTCATATTTAGAGTATTCATACACATTCTTGAATTTGATGTCCCATTTACCAACTTTTTTCCCATTTTAATAATCACCTCTATAAATGACTTAGGAATTGAAAGTAAATTCATTAATCAATTCAATCCATGTTCCAATTTTAATAGAATCATCTTTATCATAACTTCCACCACCTCTATAATTATTTTTATATTATCAACAATATATATTACATATCTTCAATTTAGTCTGTCTATTATAAGGATGTAATCCATCTGCCAACTTTTTTGCCTCTTTTGTATTCACCATGGAATAGAATTTAAAAATTATTTTGAGAGAATTCATCTAATTCAATCCAGTTTCCAACCTTAACCTAACCATCATTTTCATCATATGATCCACCACCACTAAAATTATTATATTAATTTTAACATCTCTTTTTATTCGCATGCAATGTTCCATTTCCCAACTTTTTTTCCTTCTTTATATTTACCTTGATAAGTTACTTTAGAATTTAAAGTAAATCTTTAACTTAACTCAATCCATATTGCTGTTTTAAGGTTGTTGCCTATTTCGCAATATAATCCTCCTCCACTTTTTGAGTAAAATTTAATTAAAATTTTACATTTTTTTATCCCAAGCATAAATATTCCATTATCCAACTTTATAACCATTCAAATACACACCCTTATGAACGATTTGAGAATCAAATGCAAACCCTTCCCTTAGCTCAACCCATTCTCCTATTTTATGGTTGTTGCCTGCTTGATTATATAATCCTCCTCCACTTTAAGAGTATATAGTGATGAAAATATACATTTTTTTATCCCAGGCATAAATATTCCATTGTCCAACTTTATAACCATCCAAATACTCCCCCTTATAAGTTACTTGATAATCAAATTTAAACCCTTCACCTAGCTCTATCCATTTTCCTATTTTTCGGTTGTTGCCTGCTTGATTATACAATCCTCCTTCGCTTTTAGGGTAATTATTGATGAAAATTTACATTTTTTTATTCCAAGCATAAATATTCCATTGTCCAACTTTATAACCATTCAAATACTCACCCTAATAAATAACTTGGTAATCAGATTTAAACCCTTCACTTAACTCAATCCAATTTCCTATTTTACGGTTATTTCCTGCTTGATTATATAGCCCTCCTCCACTTTTAGAGTAAATATTGATGAAAATATACATTTTTTTATCCCAGGCATAAATATTCCATTGTCCAACTTTATAACCATTCAAATACTCACCCTAATAAGTAACTTGGCAATCAGATCTAAACCCTTCACCTAGCTCAATCCATCTTCCTATTTTACGGTTGTTGCCTATTTCGCTATATAATCCTCCTCCACTTTTAGAGTAAAAATTTGATTAAAATTTTACATTTTTTTATTACAGGCATAAATATTCCATTGTCCAACTTTATAACCATCCAAATACTCACCCTAGTAAGTAACTTGATAATCAGATTTAAACCCTTCACTTAACTCAATCCAATTTCCTATTTTACGGTTATTTCCTGCTTGATTATATAGCCCTCCTCCACTTTTAGAGTAAATATTGATGAAAATATACATTTTTTTATTCCAATCATAAATATTCCAAAGTCCAACTTTTTTACCTCCCATATACTCGCCCTCAATAATGTATTTAGAATTGTTTTTAACAATATCTTACAATTCAATACAAAATTGAAATTCAATACTTAATTTTTCTACATCATATTATTCGAAACCATTATTATGATTGCAATTTTATGTATATAAGGTTACAGATTAGTTTTCATTATAATTATTATAAGATGTCTTCCATTTCCCATGTTTTTTACCTTTTAAATATCCACCCGAATAGGAAATCCAAGCATCCTTCTAAAATTTACTTTTTATCTCAATCCAATAACCGTTTTTAGTGTCTTATAATTTTTTCTAATCGCTTTTTTTGTAGAAAATATCCCATTAACCAATATTTAAACCATCTTTATATTGTCCATTATAAATAATTTAGGGATTGCAAATAAACCTTTCGTTTATCTCTACCCAATTCCCTATCTTTATTTGCTCCATTTAGTTATCATATTATCCACCGCCGCTAAATATAGTATTAAATTTTAACATAGATTAGAAGTATATTTCATAAGGATTTTTATACTTAATTTCCCATTTGCCAACTTTTTATCCTTATTAATAATTGCCATCATAAATTATTTAGAAATTCCATTTAAATCTATCACTTAGCTCTATCCAATTTCCAATCTTTATTTCATTAATTTAATCATCATAATACCCACCTCCACTAAATATAATATTAAATTTTAACATTTAAGAGAATTGTATTTCATACGGACTTTTATATTTAATTTCCCATTTACCAACCTTTAATCCATTTTAAAAGTTGCCATTATAAATAATTTAAGAATTATGTTTAAATCTTTCACTCAGTTCAATCCAATTGCCTATCTTTACTTGATCAAAGCCTTCTTCATATGATCCACCACCACTAAAAATGATAGTATTAAAGTTTAACATTGTTTCAAATTCTTTTTCGTCAGTTTATTTATATTTAATTTTCCATTTACCTACTTTTATCCATTTTAATAGTTGCCATTATAAATGATTTAAGAATTCCATTTAAATCTTTCACTCAGTTCAATCCAATTGCCTATCTTAACTTGATCAAAGCCTTCTTCATATGATCCACCACCACTAAAAATGATATTATTAAAGTTTAACATTGTTTCAAATTCTTTTTCGTCAGTTTATTTATACTAAATTTCCCATTTACCAACTTTTTATCCGTTTTAATAGTTGCCATTATAAATGATTTAAGAATTCCATTTAAATCTTTCACTCAGTTCAACCCAATTACCTATCTTGACTTTATCAAGGTTTAAATCATATGATCCACCACCACTTAATAGATAGAAATATATTTTAACATTAATTCAAATTATTTCGATTCAGGTTATTAATACTTAATTTCCCATTTACCTACTTTTTATCCATTTTAATAGTTGCCATTATAAATGATTTAAGAATTCCATTTAAATCTTTCACTCAGTTCAATCCAATTACCTTTCTTAACTTTATCAAAGTTTTCTTCATATGATCCACCTCCGCTAAAAATAGATAGAAATATAATTTAACATTTCTTCAAAGTATTATGATTAAGGGTATTTATACATAATATCCCATTTACCAGCTTTTTATCCATTTTAATAGTTGCCATTATAAATAATTTAAGAATTCCATTTAAATCTTTCACTCAGTTCAACCCAATTACCTATCTTGACGTTATCAAGGCTTAAATCATATGATCCACCACCACTAAATAAATATAAATATATTTTAACATTATTTCAAATTATTTCGATTCAAGTTATTTATACTTAATATCCCATCTACCTACTTTTTATCCATTTTAATAGTTGCCATTATAAATGATTTAGGAATTCAATTTAAATCTTTCACTCAGTTCAATCCAATTGCCTATCTTTACTTTATCAAAGCCATCTTCATATGATCCACCACCGCTAAAAAAGATAGTATTTAAGTTTAACATTGTTTCAAATTCTTATTCGTTAGTTTATTTATATTTAATTTCCCATCTACCAACTTTTTATCCATTTTCATAGTTGCCTTTATAAATAATTTAAGAATTCCATTAAAATCTCTCGTTCAATTCTATCCAATTACCAATTTTTACTTAGCATACCTCACTTTCATATAATCCACCACCACTTCAACAATCATATTTAAAAAATGTTACATTAATTTCAATTTTTTCCATAAATTCTGCTTATATTGAGTATCCCATTTGCCAGATTTAAGTCCATTCACATATTCACCACTAAAAAAGATGAAGGAAGTCTGATTAAATTTTTTACTCAATTCAATTCATTTACCTACTTTTATTCCAATTTCATAATCATATATTCCGCCACCACTATGAAATAGATAATGTTGATATTATACATTATTTAAAATTCCTTCCATTAACCTTACTTATACTTTATATCCCATATCCCAACTTTTTGACCATTGAAATATTTGCCATCCAAAATGATTTAGGAATCATTTTTAAAACTATTACTTAATTCTATCCATGCACCCTACTTGATGCCACCAATATCATTATCATATGGTCCACCACCACTAAAAAGGTATGATTAATTAATAATTATACATTAATTAAAATTCTTTCCATTAATCTTATTTATACTTAATATCCCATCTACCAGATTTGAGTCCATTTACATATTCACCGCACAATATGACTTAGGAATCATTTTTAAAACTATCATTTAATTCTATCCATGCGCCTTACTTGATGCCACCAATTTCATTACCATATGATCCTCCACCACTAAAAAGGCATGATTTATTAATAATTTACATAATTTAAAATTCCTTCCATTAATCTTATTTATACTTAATATCCCATCTACCAGCTTTGATTCCATTTACATATTCACCACACAAAATGACTTAGGAATTGTTTTTAAAACTATCATTTAATTCTATCCATGCGCCTTATTTGATTTCGCCAATTCCATAATCGTATGACCCTCCACCACTAAATAGATATAATTTATTAATAATTTACATAAATTTAAATTCTTTCCATTAATCTTATTTCAACTTAATATCCCATCTACCAGCTTTGAGTCCATTTACATATTCACCACAAAATATGATTTAGGAATTGTTTTTAAAACTATCATTTAATTCTATCCATGCACCTTTCTTGATTTCATCAATTTCATTCTCGTATTATCCTCCACCACTAAAAGGCATGATGTATTAATAATTATACATTAATTAAAATTCTTTCCACTAATCTTATTTATATTTAATATCCCATTAACCAGATTTGAGTCCATTTACATATTCACCGCACAATATGACTTAGGAATTGTTTTTAAATCTATCATTTAATTCTATCCATGCACCCTACTTGATGCCACCAATTTCATTATCATATGATCCTCCTCCACTATAAAGGTATGATTTATTAATAATTTTACATTAATTTAAATTCTTTCCATTAATCTTATTTATACTTAATGTCCCATCTACCAGCTTTGAGTCCATTTACATATTCACCGCACAATATGACTTAGGAATCATTTTTAAAACTATCATTTAATTCTATCCATGCGCCTTACTTGATTTCACCAATTTCATTACCATATGATCCTCCTCCACTAAAAAGGTATGATTTGTTAATAATTTACATTATTTTAAATTCTTTCCTTTAATCTTATTTATATTTTATATCCCATCTACCAGCTTTGAGTCCATTTATATATTCACCACACAAAATGACTTAGCAATCTTTTTTAAAATTTTCACTCAATTCTACCCATTTACCTACTTTTATATCACCATTTTCGGTATCATATAATCCCCCAGCACTTAAGAAATATTATTGATTAGCTTTTACATTTAATAAAATTCCTATAAACCTATTTACCTAGACAAAATATCCCATCTCCCAAATTTTTTGCCATTTTAGTATTCCCCACAAATAACAATTTAGTTATCCTGTTTGAAATTTTCATTTAATTCTATCCATTTACCAAATTTTTTTTCCTCATTTCCGTTATCATATGAACCTCCTCCACTACAACTGTATTTATTATCTTTTACATTTAATAAAATTCCTTCCAATCGTTTTACTTAGACAAAATATCCCATCTCCCAAATTTTTTGCCATTTTAATTTTCCCCACAAATTACAATTTGGTCATCCTGTTTGAAATTTTCACTCAATTCAATCCATTTACCTACTTTTATATCGCCGTTTTCATTATCATATTATCCACCACCACTACACCACAATTTTTTATACTATTATACATTTATTTAAATTCTTTCCACTAACTCTACTTAAACTTAATTTCCCAAATGCCAACTTTTTTACCATCTTTATATTTTCCGTTATAAATGACTTAATGACTACGAGAAAAATTCTCACTTAAATCGATCCAGTAACCAATTTTAGTTCCTTCTCCATTCTCATCATATTATCCTCCTCCACTAATTTATATTTAATTTATTACATTTTTATATTATTCCATTTGTATATCCAATTACCAAATCTTTTATTTTTTTCATATTATCCTTCTTCATACACTTTATTTTCACTTTAAGTTTATTTTATAAAATTACTCCCAATAATTTTCACATAAATCTATCCAACTTCCAACTTTTTATCCGTATATATTGTATAATCCGCCTCCAACATTTTTTTCTTTCCAAAAATAGTTCCATTATTTTATTTTGTATCCATTAATTCCATATTGACCTTTGAAATCTAAATATTTCATTTATTCAAAATTATTTAATATTTTTTCATTTTTCTATCCTGATATTTTATTCTCTCTATGTTATATGATAATTATGTTACTATCTAAGTATCTATTCATTCTATTTGTAAGTTCTATTTCCATTTATATCTCTTATGAGAATAAAATCTTTTGGTATTAATTAGTCTTTGAACTTTGAGAATCCTTGAAATTAAAAAACGCTAACTTTTTCCTCTCCTTCATTAGAACTAAGATCTGTAATATAATATTGCAAATGAGTATTTAATTAATCAAACAAATGACAGATCGTGTAGATTTTCTATATTTAAATTTCCAAATCTTCTTCTAAATTTTTGAGTTCAGAAGAAACCTTCTGTTTTTATGCTATCCATTTATTAAAATTATTTCCCTCGAGAAAATTTACTAAAAAATTTAATTCCTTTTAATCACACCTGATAGGGTTAAAAGCCTAATCGATGATTTCTAAGAATCTATCATCTCCTGTTCTTGAGTTATTTACAATGCTTTTTATTGAATCTTTCATATTTTTTAAAATCATATTTATTTCTTCTTCAAATAATTCAAACTTCTATTATAAGCTATCCAATTGATATTGATATTAACTTTATTCCAATTAATCCCTTACTCTTAATGTATTAGATTTTTCAAAAATTATTTTAGGAATATCTTCAATTTATATTATTTAATCTTAAGGTATTNTTTTTCCTCATTTCCGTTATCATATGAACCTCCTCCACTACAACTGTATTTATTATCTTTTACATTTAATAAAATTCCTTCCAATCGTTTTACTTAGACAAAATATCCCATCTCCCAAATTTTTTGCCATTTTAATTTTCCCCACAAATTACAATTTGGTCATCCTGTTTGAAATTTTCACTCAATTCAATCCATTTACCTACTTTTATATCGCCGTTTTCATTATCATATTATCCACCACCACTACACCACAATTTTTTATACTATTATACATTTATTTAAATTCTTTCCACTAACTCTACTTAAACTTAATTTCCCAAATGCCAACTTTTTTACCATCTTTATATTTTCCGTTATAAATGACTTAATGACTACGAGAAAAATTCTCACTTAAATCGATCCAGTAACCAATTTTAGTTCCTTCTCCATTCTCATCATATTATCCTCCTCCACTAATTTATATTTAATTTATTACATTTTTATATTATTCCATTTGTATATCCAATTACCAAATCTTTTATTTTTTTCATATTATCCTTCTTCATACACTTTATTTTCACTTTAAGTTTATTTTATAAAATTACTCCCAATAATTTTCACATAAATCTATCCAACTTCCAACTTTTTATCCGTATATATTGTATAATCCGCCTCCAACATTTTTTTCTTTCCAAAAATAGTTCCATTATTTTATTTTGTATCCATTAATTCCATATTGACCTTTGAAATCTAAATATTTCATTTATTCAAAATTATTTAATATTTTTTCATTTTTCTATCCTGATATTTTATTCTCTCTATGTTATATGATAATTATGTTACTATCTAAGTATCTATTCATTCTATTTGTAAGTTCTATTTCCATTTATATCTCTTATGAGAATAAAATCTTTTGGTATTAATTAGTCTTTGAACTTTGAGAATCCTTGAAATTAAAAAACGCTAACTTTTTCCTCTCCTTCATTAGAACTAAGATCTGTAATATAATATTGCAAATGAGTATTTAATTAATCAAACAAATGACAGATCGTGTAGATTTTCTATATTTAAATTTCCAAATCTTCTTCTAAATTTTTGAGTTCAGAAGAAACCTTCTGTTTTTATGCTATCCATTTATTAAAATTATTTCCCTCGAGAAAATTTACTAAAAAATTTAATTCCTTTTAATCACACCTGATAGGGTTAAAAGCCTAATCGATGATTTCTAAGAATCTATCATCTCCTGTTCTTGAGTTATTTACAATGCTTTTTATTGAATCTTTCATATTTTTTAAAATCATATTTATTTCTTCTTCAAATAATTCAAACTTCTATTATAAGCTATCCAATTGATATTGATATTAACTTTATTCCAATTAATCCCTTACTCTTAATGTATTAGATTTTTCAAAAATTATTTTAGGAATATCTTCAATTTATATTATTTAATCTTAAGGTATTTTTAAAAAAATTTTGTGGTATGGAATAATTCTCCCCCTCATAAGCACTTAGTGCACTGATCGAGATCCATTAATAAGCAAAAAGTTTTTAAGATCCAGCTTTACAAAATATCCTAGTAAACTTAACACACTGGGTTTTTGCCATGTTGAATTTTTTAAACAATAGNCTTTAAAAGTTTTTATTATAATTAACTCATAGATACAAGTATTAAATCAATCAACTTATCTGAATTTAGTTGATTTAATATATTTATACACTTCTAAGTCTCTAATAAAAACAATTAAGTAATCTAATTCAAAGAAAGAGGAAAAGAAATTCATTGATTTAATTTTAAAGAATTTTCAATAAAATAATGATATTAAAATGAGTTAAATAATTGATTTAAAGAAGTTCCTTAATACAATTTAAAGCATGTAACAAGTTTAAATTTAAGGTGCTAACTCAGATATTTCTTGGAATGAGGAAATTGTAATTGAAATGTTTAAACAATTATAATATTAATATTTTGGAATAGTTTCTAATTAGTAACTTATTTAAAAAATATGATTTTGCAGAATTTAAAACCTAAATATTGAATTCCACTATCCAATAAGCCAAAAAAAAGAGAGATTTCATTCATATTGCAATAAGGAAAGAATCAGTTTCATCTTTTCACAAACCTGAATCTATAACCTAAGCCAATTTTTATTATGATAGTTTGAAGTTAATTATATTTTATAATAGAGATTAAATCTTTAGATATTGCAGCAATTTTTAATCTTAGCAAGGTTCAAAATTAAAGTACTATACTGTATTTAAGTTTACCACTCCAACAATTCTAAACTGGTAATTACTCATCATCGCTTTATAGAATTTATTTTATCTTCCTAATGTGCAAATTCTTCCTCTTAAAAAAAATTAACAGCTTCTTCTTCATTTATATCTTTACTCTTAATATTAAGAACTTCATAATCTTCCTGATATTAATAAGAAATAAATTATTGAGTTTGGCGATCCAAATTAAAGAATTCTTCTTCATTACATTTAAGGAAACATTAATTTTATCAATTAGTACATCTTTAGAAAATGAAAATCCATCAAATTCAATTTCGTTTCCATCATCACATTAATGGTACACCAAAGTAATAATACCTTAACAACATATATTGATGCAAATATTATAACTACTTAGAAGGACGCTTATCAAACCTTGGATTATTCTGTTGCTTGAATTAGAGTTTTTGAATTTAAATTTATATACATTTATAAATGCAATAAATATTTTCACTTTCACAATCACAATTTGAAACATTACAATTTTTTAATTAACGTTATATAAATTGTAGAGTAGAATATGCATTAATATAATGAGCAGAGTAGAATTGATTGGTTAAATATTCTATGTATTTTCATATAGTTTTATTTGTTAGCATATGAATTTGCAAAGTATTTTAGGAAGCTTAACTATGTTAAAAAAGCCACCAGATATCAATTATTTTCAATAAAATTATATGAGGAATAGCATATTTTTATAATTACAAATTATCTTCTGCTACTAAAAGTATCAAACATTAATCTTAACTCATTCTCTTAGTTTATTTATTACCTATAATTATCATCTAAATTAATTGAAAGAGACAACAATATGGTAAATATCTAATATGTTGATGATCAACATAATCTTAATCAAAGATCTATTTTTTAACAGAAAAATTATACATACTCCTTTATTTAATTTAAGGAATTAAATTAATATAAAAAAATGAAATTTCCAGCATTTAAAAAATAGAAAATCATATTGTAATAAATTTTCAGTAAGGCTCAGCTGAGGTTGATAAAGTAGAATATAGACTGACATTTATGAATCACTTCAAATAACATAAACTAGAGTTGTGATCAATATTGTGTAATATAAATATGTTATTTGGCAGCGCTTTATTTTTTGATTTTAAAAAAAATAAGCTTTACTAAATACAATTTTTTTTTTGAATATCGAAGCAATGCTTTGAGGACATGCGACATTTTATTCTGTCTTCTTAGTATGAGATTGAAACAAGCCAAAGTGGTAAACTCTCTTTTTGGAAAAAAGATTTAATTATTATTTATTAAAGATAAATGAATTTATTCAAAATTATGAGAGGCTAGATCAATTGATATTGGTCATTATCAGAAGTTCAATTTTGCATTTGCCGAATATCGTTGTGAATGAGAATTAATTTCTTGATTGCTATTCATTAGATTACAAATCTAATTTTCCAGATGAAAATTAAAAAGTCAAAGGGGCATTCATTTCTCACCTTGCTTTACGTTTTCATTTTGGATCTTTTGGGGTGCTGGAAATGCATTTTCAAAGTAATAATAGATGAACTACCAAACATATGAAAATGATTAAATTTTCTTCAACTATAGAGAGAATGTGGTAGAGCCAATTACGGCTTTGAATTATGATAAAGAGATAATATCTAGGTATGTTAATTACCATTGACTTACAGTTCCAATTTTCTCATTATAGATTTCTTTATGCTAAATCATCTAATAATGAATTTCAGTTTCTGTTTGAGATTTGTTTTGAAAAAATGTAAAACCAAGGAATTGAGAATGCTTTCCCAAACGGAATCCTATCTACATATTAAAAATGAGTAAAAAAAATTGGGCTCCCACCTGAAGCTCTTAATATTAAAAATTCATAGCGGTTCGTTTAATTTCAAGCGGCGTTTGAAATAATTAAGAAATCTTAATTGATGTCTATTCAATTCTATCTAATTAATTGAAATTTAATATTAATTTCACAGTTTTATAAAAAATTTGGATTCTCAGTGTAATTATGATTAATTAAAAAATATTGTTGACTCACTGATTCCCTCATTGTTATTTGAAAAAATAAACCAACATAGAACAATCATTTTTCTTAAATAAAGGGAAAAATTTATATTGTAAGATCTCTTTATATCGAGGAACAAAAGAAAAAATCTTAAATGAGAGGTATTTGAGTTCAATAAGTTTATTTTTTGAGTAAAACTTTATACTATTTAATTCTGTGAATGGCTGAAAGCATAATTTTTTTTGGAATTGATTTTTTGGTATCTACCCTTTCTTCCAGCAACTTTTTTTAGAAAAGATTTAAATGGGGACAAAATTAAGAAGATAAGTTGAAGATTCTGTAACTAATTAATTAATTAATAGGTAAAAATATATACATTCTTAGCAATAAATTTATAATTGTAAATGACTAGACATTAGAAAGAAATTCAAAAGTTATTATAAATAATGGATGTAGAATTTGACATAAAAATATACGAGTTGATAAATAACCAAGAAAGCAACTTAATAATAAAGATCGATGGAATTAAAAACTGAATTTCTTTTGTTT